AAATAAGGATTTGTTACTAGTAATGTGATTTGTGGCTCCTGAGTCAGGAACCCAAGGGCCAATAGAAGAAGATTGACTCAGACCAGTAAAAGATGTACTTGTACGTGTTACAGAAGCAGTGGAACTAGAGGGCTTACGATCCTTAAACCATTTAAGAAAATCATTAAAGATGATAGATTTTTCTGATGTCGGAGGAGCAGATGAAGGAGGATCCACACCAGATGATTGTGAGGAAGGATCAGTTTGAGCAACGACAACAAATCGAAGAGGACGACCATGGAAAGCATAACATCTGTCAAATTTGTGGCCTAACCTGTCACAATGGTCACACTTGTAACGCCCTTTGCCTGGCTTGTGAGAACTATTATGATCATCACGTTGAGATTTCATAACAGAGGAATCATTAGTAAAAACAGGGGGATCATTGAGAGGTTTACATGACACACGTAGAAGCGAGGAACTCGTAAAAATAAAATTGGGTGTAATAGAGAACCCCAAAATCTGGTCACGGACATGGGAATATTTATCAGCAAGTCCACGTAACATTAAAACCATGAAAAACTTGGACCATAACTATAATTCTTGGGCAGGAGTAGATGCAAGAGTAATAACTCATTAAATTCATGGAGAAGAACATGTATCTTACCCACATAATCCGCCACAAGATCCTTATCCCGACGAGCAATAACATCAAAAAAGTTGTAACAAACACCATAAAGACACTGAGTATCATTGGTGTATAATAATTTTGGCTTATTCCCAAACTTCAGAACATGTGCCATAAGATCGAAAAATTTGTTTTAAAGAAGATTGAATGGTATTCTTAAGAACCATGCATATATGAGCATCAATGTTCTTCTAACGTACAAGATCACCAAAAGTAATATCAGTCACCTTTTGAGTAAGATGATGAACATACCCCTGACTCTCAAGCCAAAGTTTAATGTCTGACGCCTAAGTTGCATAATTCGTGTCATCTAACTTATCAATGGGCAAATTCACATTGACATAGTTAGTCAAGATTGGCTGGTCAGACCCACTAGATCTGAGAGAAGAAATTTTAGAGTCGAAAGAGGCAGCGGAAGATGCTATGAAGGAAGAGAGAGAAAAATCCTAAAACACCAAAAAGGTCCGATTGGAGCAACGAGAACAGATCCAGGAAGAGGAGAACTAGGCGAGTCCGACGTAGGTGGCGACGGCCTAAACAGAGGGACGATGCACCGCCACGCACGACGGTAAGGCGAGACGGTGACGCAACTTTGGGTGGCGCATGAGTGAGCGTGGCTGCTCCGATGACGACGAAACTTCCACCGTGGAGGTCGCATGGTCAAGGCGAGCAAAACCCTGTGCTCGATGGTCAGAACGGTCACTTCGGCGATGGCGACAGACGATAGCAACAGCGACAACGACTGTTGCAATGGCAGGGACAAAAAAAAAATCTCAAAAACCTTAAGTTCTAGACACCATGTTGAATATATGAAAAAACTATATAGGGTTAATCTCCCTTGTGTATAAACCACACATAGGGTAGTTTATTTATAATAAAGAGAGGTACAACTAGAAGAGTAATTAAAAGTAAACAAAATAAACTAAAGATATTGTTTGATATTATGGTTAACAATATCTAACAATATCAAACAATATTTATCACATTATAACATCAAGATTTGAACCTCAATATTGTGATCTGAACTGGCTTTTATTCATGGAAACCCAATTGGAAAAAGCTTAACCGTTCAATATTTCAGCCAATATACTTTTTTTCAGTAAATTTCTTATGCAGAAGATCAGCATAAGCCGCAACCACAGAGCATACTTAAACACACTTAATCAGTGCAGATTTCTAATATTCGGCTCTGATATCATTTCTGGCACCAACGCATATTATATTAAAGGGAAGCCTAAAAGTGTAAGGGAAAATAGAAGAGAATATTAGGATAAAGTAGTATATATATATATATATATAGTGCTTACAGGATACAAGAGGAAAAGAAAAGGTTGGGTACTTAGCTATGAAAGAGTTGGTTGAGAGAGATAGAGTTTAAGGCTCAAAAAAGTTGTATATTCTACTTCTTCAATGGACTCTTTTATAGGTAAAAGTTTTAGTTATTCACGACTCAAATCTTACATTTGGCACACATAGGCAGTGGCCAATGGAAAGAAAAGTAAATACAAATGACATGTCTTACTTTCGACTGCCGACACAAACGACAAAAGACAGAAAAAAGTAAATACAAATGACATGTCTTACTTTTGGCCGTTGACATAAACGACAAAATATAAAGGACAGGTTTTATAATATATTTTCACATGGGTGGGACTCAAACATTGTTAAGTGGTAAAAAGTTGATATAATTATGCCTTGAATTATTATGAAACTATTTAATTTATGTTAATTCTGATCTATTTTTCTCCTAATATAAGATGAATTCGAGAATACCTTGATAAAAGAGTAAGGTACATAATTGTTAGCATAATTGGAGTAAAACTGAAAGAAGGAAGAAGATTTTCAGCATGGAAGTCGCTCGAGCAGAATGGATTCTCGCTTGAGCGAATATCAGTTATTCTTTTCTGGAAGTCAGTTGCTCAAGCGCAAGAAAATTCGCTTGAACGAATGTTAGTTATTCTTCTCTGGAGTTCACTCGCTCAAGCACGCATTTTGTCGCTAGAGCGAAAATAGGAAACTTTCGCTTGAGCGAAAGTCGCGAAACCCAAAGGCCCAAAATTTTCTTACAAAAAGAGAAGATGTGTTTTGAGAAAAGGAAGCAGTTTTGAAGGAGAAGAGGTGCGACTACTGCTAGGGTTTCATCCAATCTTCATCAATTCTTCACTTCTTTCACATTTGGAGCATTGTAATGGCCAACATGAGTGGCTAACTTCATTCTCTTAGGATTTGGTGCACTTCTTTTGAACTCTTTTGTATCATGGTGATATTTTGAGATATTAATCTATATTTTGATGTTGTTATTCTTATCCTTTATGTTTTGAAATGATTTATTCTTGATATTTAGGGTATGATTAGAAAATATATCTTGAATCCTAGATAATGGTAAGAATATTTGTTATGTTAATTGCCAGAAATGGAATGAATGTATGAATTGCTTAACACCCTAAACCTAATGCTGAAAAATCTCTTAATTATGTGAGGAATCAACATTTATTAGGTTTTCTTATGAATTTCATGTGTGAGGAATCAACATGGATGATTTGAGTAGGTGACATCAACATTGTTAGGTTAATTGACGTTCTTAAGTGACATAGCCATTACAAAAGAGGGATAAGGAAGGAAGTCAATCTTAAGTGTCTTTAATTGATATTTTCTCAACAATTTACAGTTTTTTGTCATTTAATTTCAATTCAACTTTTTATGCAAAACTCATTCCATTTTAATCCACTTAGTAAGCATATAATTGAGAATTTCTATTGAAACTGTTTCTCGTGGGATCGATTTTTATTTAATCGAAATACTATACTGCGATTGATAATTTTGGTACGCTTGCCAATAATTCAACAAACATCTTTTAGGCGAAGGACCAGATAAGTCCAACTGCTTACTTAGATGCAATTTTCAAAATTCTGGTTCATTTAAAGATAAATTTTCTAATTTTTCCATATTTTTGCTAACCTTTTTCTCTAGGTCTTCTTTTGAGTTTTTCTGTAATTGCTAAAATTGGGTGAAGTCAAATTCCTCCACGTCTTCATAGGGATCTTGAGCATCTTGGATGTTTATGATAACTTCACTTTCTTTATCTTCGTTGTTAAAGCCTAAAAAGGATAAGACTTCCAGCATTTTTTGTTTTAAATAGGCCTTTTCTTTTTTGGACGATAGCATAGTAGATAAGTCTATTATGACTTTTCTTTTATCTTCAGTTGATGAGGTCCATTTTCTGATTGGGTTGGATGGGATAATAAGGTCAATTTTCTTCCAATTTACAAATTTTTCCTCAACATATTGGACTTCGAATTTTTTCCACCAAAACACTTTGGTCTTTAAGCATAAGAATTTTGGGAAAATTTATTCTTTGTGTTTATGGATTTCTAGAATGTGGGTCAATATCTCAAGGAGTAGGTATGTATATTTCATCTTTAAATATAGTTAAGGTGACACTATTTTTCTTTTGGTGTATAATTAATTACATCGAATAGCGAGTTCTCCTTGAAATGAATATGACGTGAAAAGCAAGTTTGAGAGAAATGAATCTTCAATGTATAATTAATTAAATAACTAATATTAAAATTAATTATAACAATTTTAACCATCTACATATGATATATCCTCACATCTAAGACTCACTAGATATGCATCCTTCCCCCCTTTTCTTCAAGAAAAGTTGTCCCCACAAATTGACAGTGTATTGTAGACAGTAGGACCACATCATACCATTTGCTCATGTTTTATATTACCCATAAGCATTAAAAATTTTGTAGTAAATGCAATACGCTATTAGTTTTTGGGTGAATCCGGGATATCTTGGTCGGGCGCCAAGGATTAAACCATTCGTATAAGGAGTTGACGTCTCTTAATTATTTCTCTTTACAGATGTACCTAAAATCAAACATCCTACTATATGCATAAGGGACAAAGTTACCTGTCATTTATGTTGGTGCAATATGCTAATCTCTTAGGAATTTACAGAGTATAATGTCATAATAACTACAAAATATTTAAAATTTAAACAAAGAGTCAGATGGATTTGAATTCTCTGATGTTTGTTGGGTAACATGATATGATCACGTTAAAAAGAGAAAGATGCTTTTTATATCAAACAAGGACCGCTGGGATTTGATTATAAGACTTACGTTTCTTTCTCTTTCAACTTTACGCTGTCTTATAATCAAATAACATGAAAGAATACAAATCTGAATTGGATTTGCATGGCTACTAACTTTAGTTGTAAATACATTTTGCATTGCCATCCCATTCTTTTAAACAAGATTTCAATAATTGCATACAAATAAATGTACATGTTATGCTGCAAAATTAGATATATTAAAGCAAGTTAAGGTCGCGATACGCACAGTTGCCTCATGGGTGTGAGCATTCTTGCAAAACGCAGGGGCACGTGTGCTCTGATATATGTCCCTTGCTCAGTATATTCCTATATAAATTAAAGAAAAAAGATAAGGAAATCCAACAAGCAGGAAAACCATCATATGATGAACAACGTAAAATCTGCCAGCTTAAAAGGGAAAACAATTCCATAATTGGTTAATGGACGAAGGTATATCACTTACCATTTTCTCAACCATTCCAACCTGGTGTATGGTGCTGAGAAGGTCCCCATTTTCAAATGGGACCAAAGCTTCCACCCAAACCATGGAGTCCTATCAATGAATAATAGATTTTTGATTGGCAAATGTAAAATAGTTCGAAGTTCAAACAAATTGATTACAAGGTATATGATGAAAATCCTTCTGGAGATGAGGAGGTGTAATGAAATCTCACATCAATTATAAATATGATAACATTAATAGTACATAGGTGAATACAATCCTCACCATACTGAACCGATTTTGTAGGATTGAGTTATGTATCTCACCATTTTCTAATATGGTATCAGAATCTATTTTAACGATGTTGAGATATGAAAATTCCCCTCGTTGTGAGAGGGGTATGGTGAAGTCTCATATCAACTAGAGATATAATAATATGAATACAATCCTTATCATATTGACTTGGTTTTGTTGGATTAAGTTAGATATTTCACAATTTTCTAATAGTATCAAATAGGAAAATGGTATATTTGAATTACATTCAGATTGGTTTCAACTTTGTACCTTTAACTTGTCTTGAACTGCATTACAAAATTCTTGTAAACCATCACCACTTAAAGCGGATATGCATACAACATCATCTCTTTTTTCAGCTTCTAGCCTGAGTTTATGGGGATCACTAACTTTATCAACCTACAATAAGAAGTCAGGTACACCAGAATGTTTAACCTGGAGCTCACGCCGTACTATAATCAATTTAGGGTGCACAGTAAAGCTTGCTGATGAAGGGAGAAATTGACCTCAGTCCTCTTAAAAAGCACACATTACGAGAAGAATTTCATTGAAGTCAATTGACCAAATTTTAAAAAGAAAGACAACCAATTTTGAACTGAAAGCAAATCATTAAATCCTTGAATTTATTTAATGCATTCTGGTTATACCACTTACATCCCAATATTTTATGATGCTAATCAAAAAGGACAGGATAGTCAGTACTGATAAAAAAGAAGATAGGATATCAATTAAAGAAATAATCAAAATGAATGGAGAACATAAGTCTAGGATTAGAAAAAGACATGTCAATTAAATGGTAAAAAAAAAAAAAAGATTTTAAGACACGTTCCCTCTAGTTTTTATAATGAACTATCCTAAAAAGCTTAAGTTGTTCAATGAAGACATGTGAATACGTAATAGTTATAAGATGCCCCCAAGATCCTTATGGGCGTGAAGTATGGACAATGCATTGACCTTGTGTTCAAATTCAACTATTTTTACTTTTAGAATCAGGATACAATGATCAAATTTCATGTCCAAATGATCTTGGTCATACAAGCTTTGATATCATATCAGGAATCAACTATCCCAAAAGCTTAAAACCCTTGAGTAAAGAAACACAAATGATTTTATAATTATAACAATTTCAATAAAATAGACTGCAGAGGTCCAAGGAAATACCTTAATGTCTTCACAGAATAAAAAAAGATTAAGGGAGATAGGCAAATTTAATACACAATTTTCAGAACAGGAAAACCAACAAAAATGTTCACCAATACCTTGTTCCAGACTATCAATTTTGGAATTGATGACACATCTAGTTCTGACAGGACTTTGTCGACTGCATTTATCTGTTGCTCAGCCAGGGGATGACTGCAATTCACAAAAAATAATTAAAGAAATACTGTGTAGGTCACCACCACTAATTTTACTAACTTCCTTTTCTCTAAAAATTAAGTTCTTCAAAGTAGTTTCCCTTATGCATAAACCTTATATCAACTACATGCACCATCAATGATGACTCTGATATCTCCTCTAGGGTAGCTCTGAAGGCAGCAACCTACAGAAAGCAGAAGAGTTTTTTGTAACTTCATAATTTAGGCTTAACTTCTACAGAAAGCAGAAGAGTTTACTCTCAACATACTAAGTTGAGAGTAAACTGAGCTCTAAAAAATTAAAAAATATCAAAATCATATTTCTTGTCAAGAAACATCAAGAGTATTTAATTGCAAGAGAGTTATTATTCTTACTAAAGTTGTAGGTAACTTCTGAATAAAACCAACAGTGTCTGTTAGAAGAAACTCCTTTCCGTTCTTCATCTGGATGAATGCAAATGAACAGAGAAGCATGTTAAAATAACCAATCATAACCTCACAAGATCAATTTTCCTGCAGAATTTAGTTCCTCTAAAGAAGGCAGAGTTGTAAAGTGAGAAAATGGGGTCTAACAAATGTCAATATACTTTAATTTAAATAATTATGAATGGACCTTCACTTAATTACTTTACAAGTATCCTCACTTTAGAGGAGCAACATACTTTCTTTCATTAACTTTCGATAAAAAATGAATAAAAAAGATGAATTTTTGTGATCCCACATCCATTATACACTGTAAACAAATGAAATGGCTATGCTGCAAGGTAAAGGACAATTATAAGCGCTTGGCTAGTTCTTTACTCCGTAATAGGGTTGAAGATTATGGTACCTAAATCTCAATACAAATAAAGCATAAAGAATAGTTTAAAACAACTAAGAGGTTGCAAATAAAAGATGGGAAATTCTCCAGGTATATGTTGACTGACCTGTACCCTCCTCGTAGTTGGATCTAAAGTTGCAAATAATTTATCCTCAGCAAGAACTTCTGCTCCAGTTAGTTGATTCAAAAGTGTACTCTTACCAGCATTTGTGTAGCCAACCTAATATGTTGTCAATAGCATTATCAAATTATTTATTTAGCATACATTATCATGATGTATACAAGCTGAAAAGGTCATCCAAATAGTAAATGCCCTCAGTATACTTGTAAAAAAACTAACCAAAGATACCACTGGCACAGGTACTGAGAATCGCCTGTTACGGTACTGCTTTCGATGTTTCCTAACAGATTCTAGCTCTTTCTTAAGAATACCAATCTGCCAAAGACCAAGCATCAGAAATTTCATATAAAAACTAATAGTCCAGAGGTACAACAGAAAAAACAGTGAACTTTCAGAGAAACGCATAGTCAATGTAACTGGTAGGTTACTACTCAGAAATATACAATGTGTGTCTACTTGCCAGTGCTACACTAGTACACAGCACATTCATTTGATCAAATAGCAGATTTTTACAGAAATGTTGATAAATTTGACAGTTGTAAAAAACTGTTTGCTTACTTGGTTACGCAGAATACGTTTGTCCACTTCTATTTGCTTTTCACCCATTCCCTTCACCTTTCCTCCCGCTTGACGCTCAAGATGAGTCCACATTTTTGTTAGGCGAGGTAGTTGGTATTCCATTTGTGCTAATGAAACCTAGAATTAGAAACACTTAGTATAGTCAGAAAAAGGACTGAAAATTCTCCTCCTTGCCAAAGCGAGTTCTGGTAAAAACATGAATAGAAAAAAAACACTTCTAATTCGGAGATTTCAATGGTTCTTTATTTATTTATAAGGGTACAGTACTCTACTATAATTAACTGCTAGTAACTGAAAGTTGTCTCACTTGATTGAAATATAAATACAGTACAATAGTTTTCTAGAAAAGAATTTTACATATTATCATCTTACTTAATGATGAATTAATAATATTAAATACTTTTATATATAATAATTAAAAACATTATAAAGTAAACTACCAATTAATAATTTGTTTATCTTATGATAATGTGATGGTTAAATGATAATAAAAACATGAAACTCATGGAAAAGTCCCTCGTTGCATTTATATTTTCAACTGAGTAGATCAGGTACTGATACCCTAATAAAAACAAAGGATACTGGCGAAACTTCTTTCTAATTTATAATTGCCTGTAAGGATGCTTCATGTGTTGCTGCTCGTTGATTAAATATATCAAGGATTAGAGCAGTTCGATCACAAACTCTCACATCTCCACCAAATATCTTTTCCAAGTTGCGCAATTGCCTAGAATTAGCAGGGACCAGAAATTTTAAGTGAGATTCCAGGGGTGGCATTTCTATGCAGCAATTTGACAATAAAAAAATAATGAATCTGGGAACAGTTGCTGACAGAATCAGGAAAACAAAAAGAAGAGGAAGAGTAGAAATTATAACAATTATCTATGTTCATATAAGCAAGCACGATGCATTAGTAATAAGAAATCATAAGCTTCAAGATCAAAAAGTCACAGATTTTCGACCTAGTTATGATTTGAGGGCTGATGTAGTATTTGAAACATCTTACTAGCTCATAATTAAAGGGTTATGATTAATATGTCAGTATGTACTTTCATAAATCAGCATTTCGATTTTCAAACTATGGGTCGTAACCTTGTAATTGAGCTTGAGTTTATGCAAGTCATAGAGCTTTTTTTAATTTTATTTATATCCAATTCTTCCACATGATTTTAGTTGTAGAAGTCTCAAGCCCTATAATATCAAGACTCTGTAAACTCTTGTAGGAATAGGTCTACTTAAACCATTGTATATCCAATGGAACCATGAATTTCATTGATTAAACGCCAGATATTGGAACCATTCAGAATTGCATATCCATGTTTTGCTTAATCCTCCAAATAATCTTTAATTACCATTTTCATTATCTATTATAATCCAATTACCGTTGCTTCAATTGGATCATTTTTTTTTACAGCTACTTTTTGGTTTCTTAATTTTCTACTCCTACCTAATAAGTCAAATTAACTTCACAGTTCACACCATCAAAACCTAGTATTCCTTGATTGCAGCTTCCATAGAACTCATCCATCCCAAAACCCTAAGGCTGAAGATAAACTCACAGCCCCAAACGACCCAATTGACTGCTTGATACCTCTCCAACAGCTGTAAATTGATATTGTCTGTCATAAATACATGATACTTTCAATAGGTTAGTTTATGCTAGATGACTATTTTCTAGGACTGCCAAAACGGAAAGCTTGGTCCAACACAACCTTATGGACTAACTAAAAAATAAAATAAAATTGAGAGAACAGTTCAACCTATATTTTGAAATGGATTATAATTTTTTTTGCCTAATTTGACTTTATGTCAGACCAACTAACCAACAGGTCAATTTTGATTTGATTGAAACTAAAAAATAGAAAGTATAACATGTTTATATTAAAACAATTTATCTAAAAAAGTAAATAAAAAATATAAAAAAAAAACATTTTCAAAATTTAAGTTATATTTATAAAATTATGTTATTTTAGATATAATGATTTGACATTTTATAAAATTCATTTATTTTAAGAGTAAACACTTTTACTCTTCATCTCCCTTTATTTTTAGTAATATAATAGTTTAAAATAGTAATTTATATTGACCATTATAGTACAAGAAAATGAACACTAAATCTTTAACTTTTACTCTTTGAATAAGTGGATTATTTCTCAAATTAAATTATATTATATTATATATATATATATATATATATATATATATATATTAATAAAATAATATTATTTTTATTTTTATAAAATAATTATTATTTTATAAGATGGATGGTCATGTATACTAACCTATCCTAAACCTATTTAGGTCATAGGCTAAATGGACCCGGTCAAATTTGATCTATTTCGATTTAAGGCACAATGCTTTCGGCCTAATCCGAACTACTTTTCGAGTTAACCTATCGGGTCAAACTTATTTTGATACCCTTAATATTTTCCAACCACCTCCAATTAAAGCCTACAAGAATATCAATTTAGTCTAATTTTTACTACCCTTTCGTGGTCAATTACAAAGCCAAAGCACCATCAGAGTAAATGAAATAGTCAGATGTCAACAAATTAAATGGTGGCATGGATAAAAATTAGTCTTGGTAGAAGCATGCGTATGGATGGCATAAATGTTAAACAGAGGAAAAAGTGACTTTACCCAGCTGACAGTTCGTCATCAAAGACAACAGTTTCAACATCCAATGCATGAATTGCACTCTTAATTTCAGAAACCTTGCCAGAGCCAATGTATGTCCTAGGGTTTGGAGAAGTAAGCCTGTAATAATTAAGAAATTGAGTCAACTAATAATACTTTAGCCCTAAAGAAAAGAAAACAACATAAATGTACTTTAGCAATTAAAAATTCTCATGGAGAAGAATGATAGAACTGCTGGTTTATGATACATAAACGTATTGCTCATCACGGAGTTCACAGGTTTGAGTTGTGGATTCAGCCTCATGCAAATGCAAGGAAAGACTGCCTATCATAGTCCCTTAATAGGGCCAACTCTTCCCTTGACCCCTGACATGGCTGGAACTTTTAGCACCAAGTTGTCCTTTGTTCTTAATGATAACAAAATTTTTCAAAACTTAGAAACCACAACATTAATTCCCTAGAAACCAAAAGTCTCATAATAATGCTCCTCAATAACGATAATTTCTAAACACTCAAAAAACTTTCTAATTTCCAAAACTATCAAAAAAATGTTTCTAACACCAATTATTAATTTTATCCTAACAAAAACCCCTGAAAAATTAATTCTTTGCATTTAAAACAAAAAAACTTGAGATCGGCATCACCCTGAACTCCCAATTTGCTAGCTTGTAGCTTAAGCTTTCAAAACATGAGATCGGCTTAATACCGATCTCTCAAATACCAACTTCAAAACTCCTTGGTCATCAAAACATTCTGAGCTCCAAACTTTTGAGTTTCCTACTAGCCGACTTCTAGTCTTCTACTTTCCAATCACTATGAGTTCCATCCATCCTTCATCCTTATCTCCACACTAGTCACTATCCAAGTACCCTACAAGTTGGTAATTGTTTGACCTCTTCTTCCTTGGTTCCATGGGGTTGATACCGAATTGCAATCAGTCATCTTAAACTTGACATCCACTTGCTTCATTCCAACAACTCGATCATATCTCTCATCTTTCTTAAACATTTGCTTCACGCCAATAGGCAGATCATAGCTAGGTAATTTAGTCATCACCAACGTATCATTGTGTTCTCTAACTGGGTCTTTCTCATCCATAACAACTCGAATCTTCTCTTTAATATCTTTTTGAATTGGTGTCCTCGCCTTATTATTGACTACACCTCTGAAAACTCTCTCCTTCATGTCATTCGCCTTCTTACCAATCTCCTCTTTGCAAACTCCTTCCAATTTGACAACAATCGTAGGTGAAAAAGCTTTCCCTACTCAGTCTCTTTCACTTGCATCACAAACTCAGACAATATCATGATTATCATCATGAATCAACTCTGTTAAACCACAAAAATGCATATGAGCAAATTAGTAATTTACCATTTACATTTGATTTCAGACTCCTTCCGAATGCTTCTCAGTTGCAACTTGTACATCTTGTTCTTTCCCATCTCTACTCGAGCAATCAACCTTCCAAATTCGTTCCTCAACTAGAGCACTCGGTCTTTCATGAAAATCGTGTACCCCTTCTCCATCAATTGTCCCATACTCAAAAGATTATTCTTTGGATCTTAAGCATAAAATACATCTTGAATTGACCCAACTAGGTCATCCTTCTGCAAGAAACAAACAATGCACCAGCCTTTTATCGAGACCCTCGAAGCGTCTCCAAACAAAACATGATTGCCATATATTTCTCCAATTTTCTAAATAGGTGTTCGTCCTCATACATGTGATTACTTGCACCCGTATCTAAAAACAATACCGACTTGTGATCATTATCAGACTGAACTCCTTCACAACTAATTCTCGTGTTGAGATCGGTCTTCAACAATGTTACTCCAGTTTCTTTCTCCTCTGCAAGATAGGTCCCATCTGCCTTTTGATATTCTTTCACAAAATGCACCTCCTTTCTACAATTAGCATTTTTCCGAATAGCAGTCCTTCGCATAATGGCTTTACTTGTTACACTTGAAACACTCGATATCTGAGTGGTTTGTTGACCAACCTCCTCTCGGTCCACAGCCTCTTCCTTGCCAGTTTTGTTAATCTGCTTCTTCATTTTCGTCACCTCGGCCACCGAATCCACCTTGACCAAATCGACCACCTTGAGCCTGACCACCACGACCTCTTCCTCTATTATTCTAAAAATAGAGATTCTTTTCGTTTTGGAGCAGTTTTTACGTGTTCTCGTCCTCCTTATCTTTCTACATTCAGTGTTCATAGGCTTCAAGAGATCCGATCAATTCTTTTATTGAAAGCTCGAACAAATTCTTTGTTTGTTCTATTGCACACACCACATTGTTAGAGGATTTTTTAATGACCTCAAGATCTTTTCAACGATATGTTCTGTGGAAAATGCCTCTTCGTTCTGATTAAGTTGTTTTGTCACGTTTTCAACACACAAGACATATTCGAAAACTTTTTCCGACTCCTTGATCTTCAGACTCTCCATCTCGTTTCGTAGTGTTTGACGTCGAATCTGTGTGACTCAGTCATCACTCCCGTGGTCCTTCTTCAACACATTCCACGCATTAGATGCCGATGTAACTCTTACAATCTTCTCAAAGTCAGAATCTTCTACAACTCGAAACAACAAAAATAGAGTTGCATTGTCTTTCTCACGTTTCTTCTCTAACTCTCTGTTCATTGATAGTCAATTCTTCTGGGGTCTCAAGTTGTTCAAAACTTTCTTCCACCATCTTCCAAACACCTTGGTCTTCCACCATCCCACATTAGATGCCGATGTAACTCTAACAATCTTCTCAAAGTCAGAATCTTCTACAGCTCGAAATAACAAAAATAGAGTTGCATTGTCTTTCTCACGTTTCTTCTCTAACTCCCTCTGTTCATTGATAGTCAATTCTTCTGGGGTCTCAAGTTGTTCAAAACTTTCTTCCACCATCTTCCAAACACCTTGGTCTTTGAGAAGAGCTTTCATCTGAACACTCCATTTATAATAGCTGACATCCTTCGCTGCAACAGCATTTGTCAGACCAGTCATTCACACTCCTTTTCTGACACTCAAATCCTAGCTCTCACTCTTCTAAAGAACCCTAGTTCTTTTAAAAAACAACCCAAGATCTCCCTAAGAGCTCTGATACCAATTTGATAACAAATAATTTATCAAAAACTTAGAAACTTCACTTTTATTTATTCTTTGTTATGTTGAAAACAGAATTACAATGCTTTATTTAAACATTTCCCAAGTACTCTCTATAAACCACAACATTAACTCCCTAGAAACCAAAAAGTCTCACAATAATGCTTCTTAATAACAACAGTTTCTAAACGCTCAGAAAACTTTCTAGTTCACAAAACTATAAAAAACCATTTCTAACACCAATTATTAATTTTATCCTAACACTTAATGAACCAGAACAATGAAAGGGAGTAAGGGAGAAGCGTGAGAAAAATGCTTTACATTAAATCAGAAGTGGCCATGGTCTCTTATTCCCCATCAATGAGGTAAGAAGTGAGTTGGTTCTAAAGATTATTAGGATTACACTTCCACATAAAGCATCGTATGCAAACATGAACGAAAAAAGAGATAAAAACTAGAAATAGAGTGAGTGGGTGAGTCTACTTCTTCTGGTGGTGACATGATGTGACAGTGTATAAATAACATCATTAATTTAAAAAACATTCATAGAAGAATGAAAAAGTATGCCATGAAATACAGCAGCAACATAAAACCTATACAAGATGTGCCATTCAACTGCATGACACGAAATAACAAGACAATCACTCTAGTGAAACTCAGAAATTAGGCATTCCACTTCTTTCGCAAATCTATACGATCCCAAATTTTCACCACATCAAGAGTGATCGAGACAATAATTCGATGCAACTTTTGGGTTTTTTTTAGTAAATTGAAGCTTGAGTAATTACAAAATCTTGTTTAAGAAAATTATAAGCGTTTTACTTACTTCTGGTAAGTAGAGCCAACAACCAATAATCCAGCAGTGTCAGCTAACTGCGCCAATTCACTCAGAGACTCTTCGATTCCAAAATCCTGAACATCATTCTTGCGCTCAACGCCTACGAGGTACGCTTTTTCCTCAAAAACCTGAAAACGATGAGTAACCATACAATCGAATAAAGAAATACAAAACTAAAGAAACCGAAACAGAAAAAAATAAAAAAGAGAATAGCGAGTAGAGACTTCTCTTCCGTTGCGGAGCTTGAAGCGGTTATCCGAAACAGCGTCGTCGTCTTTCTTCTTTCGAAGTCTCGTTCCTTTATCTTCGGACGAGAGTGGCAGGGGAACCGTTTCGTCGGAGTGCCGCTCCGTCTCCAACTGAACCGTTTCATTCTGCGATGAAACGGCGTCAGTTGAGTCGATAGACGACGACGACGCGAGTTCAACAGCGGAATCGCGTTGGAGAACGGAGGTGGTGGAAACAATTGCAGTGGTGAGGGGGGATATGCATAGGGGGCGAATTGGGAGTGGTGGTGATAAATAATGATAGCGTTGTTGTTGAATCAAAGGTGATGGTGATGACGGTGGATGAATAAGCGAACCGTAGAGGAATGCAGCACTCATGTCTTTCTTCAACTCTGAAGTAGAATGAATATGCTTGCTTCAACCTTCTTCGCTTTTTCAATGTTTCTCAAGTAAAATGGATTGTAATTATCATTTATTGTGGTTATTATGACATAAAAGTTGCAACACGTAGTAATGCCTCGTACATCTTTATTTCACTATAAATCCTTTAAAAGAAATGTAAATAGATAAATTTATTTTTTTATAAACTAAAATTAATTTATGCATAAAATAAATTAAAAAATAAAAAAGTGTTTTCATGACAAACAAATTATTCAAACTTCAGTTACGACAGACAATACGAGTAAGTTTAGTGATTTTAAGTTTTCAAATTGATTTTATCCCTATGGTCAAACGATAAAAATGAGAATAAATTGGTCTAAAAATCGTTAAAAGATGTGATTCATTAAAACTTAAAAAAGAAAATAAACATTGGTAAGATTCAATGAAATGAACAATCAATATAATGTTCCTAAGAGTCTAAAATGCTATTTAATGACTATCTTCAAATAAAACCAACAATTAATGATACATAGATCACAAGTCCAATTTAAGAAAAGTATTGGCACCATGTGAAGGGGTATTGAAAACAATCCTTGAAGACGTTATAATTATTACAAAACTATCAAGTGTCATCCTTTTTCTTTTCCTTGATAAAAGAATAAAAAAGGCGGGTACATCATTCCTTAAGGATAGTTCTACAGAAATTTCTCACGTTTTTCCTTATAACTAAAAGGATAGTGATAAGGATGAACCTTGACCTAAGTGGTATCCTATCACAAGCATATCAAATATTTATGAGTACACATGAGTGGTAAATCTTGATATTCGAAAATTAACATAATACATTTTTATTAAAAAATACAATAATAAATTGTTCATGATAGTAAATTCTTTTTAATTCATTAGGTCAAATTTTATTAAATATTGAAACTAGTGAGAGATCCATACAAAAGACACACTTAGGTCAGTATAAGGATTGTGTAGTCTTATTCATAAGAACTTTATCATAATATTTTAAGTAATCATTTATACTTATTTAATACTGATTATTATCTTATAATTGCAATATTTCCTTCCTTTTAAAATATATGTCTATTTTTGGTAGAAAATATTGTTTTCTTTCAATTATATATTTATTATATAGAGAAGATTAACAAGTTATTTAAGATTATTTTGGTTTGAAAGAGAATATTAAGATGATAAAATTATTAATGGAAAATATTAATAAATTTATTGAAATTAATTAAAATTAATGTTAATCTTTGTCATTAGTCTAACCATAAATATTATATGTATTGAAATGGAGGAAATTTCATCTACAAATAATTAGGTATATTATGATTACATTAATTACTCTTTTACCAATTATACCTCCATCCAAGTTACTTTAACAGTATTTTGGTTTGGGAGAATATTAAGATGATAAAAGTATTAATGGAAAATACTAATAAATTTATTGAAAATAATGAAAATTAATGTTTATCTTAGTATGTGTAATCCAACATTAAACATTATATATTTTGAAAAGGGGAGCATTAAGTATAATTAAATAATCAAGTATATTAATTATACATAATTATCATAATATACATTTAAAGGGATTAATTAAGAAATTATTTTCATTAAACCTAATAAATATGGGAATCATGCAAGTACACAATAATTATAACATTTGAATGAGGTAGTGTCCTCTCCTTAAGAAATATAGATAATTGACAAGGTCCATTGGTTATTGATGTAGTATAAAACCCTCTAAAATAGAGAATCATGCAAGTACACAATAATTATAACATTTGAATGAGGTAGTGTCCTCTCCTTAAGAAATATAGATAATTGACAAGGTCCATTGGTTATTGATGTAGTATAAAACCCTCTAAAATAGAGCAAGTATGGGATAAACAACTTAAATTATGATAGTGCACTTGAGAAACCGACACTGGGTGTGATATTCACCAGAGAGTCCTAAAAGTAGAACCATCATAAAACTTAATAATAAGATTATTGTAATTGGCCACAAATGATCCAAAAGTGGCTAACCAAGTCTCTAAGATATAACCTTCACAATAAAAGCAAGTAATAGGAAAGAAGACAAAGTCTTGAATTTAAGAAGCGCCTTTGGTACACACCTTTCACGTGTTAGAAATTAGTTATTTCCCACAAGCACCTTGAAATCATGTGCAACCTCAACTACTAGTCACAAAAATTCGTAAGATGGGAGGGCTAAATAAAGTTATCAAATGATCCATTATCTTTTGAATCGTCTTCCCTAAAATTCACCTTTGAAATTGAAGGGTATATAGGCTTGACACCCCATGAAATGCATAATGGGAAAGATGATGGAATGGAGACACAGTCTCCCCCAATATAAGGTTGTCATCATATTGAATGAATGAAAACTCATCAAATTGCGGCTTTTTTTCATAAATAATACTATTTTCAAAAATATTTTCCAAAATAGCACCTCTGCAACTTTATTTACACAACTAGCATTGTTTACTGTTTACGTAATAAAATAATATTATTTTGCGCAACTGTTTACTGTTCACGTATTAAAATAATATTATTTCGTGCAATGAACTCTCGCTCAAGCGAAGAAACCCTTCGCTTGAGCGAGGAAATCCGTAAGAACGCAGTTATCTTCGGTCAACTATCACTCAAGCGACAGATATTTCGCTTGAGCGATAAGTGATTAAAATATGTGGTGACCCAAGTTGCGTTATGTGGCTAACTGCGTTGGACGTTTAGCCAAATAATGCAACTTGGGTTTAGATAACGGTTCTAGAACTAACCGCTATTAAAACTATCTTTTAGATAGCGGTTAACGTAGAACCGCTATTATATGTTACTTCTAAGAGCGATTATAACGTGAAATAATCAATCATAATTTTAAAATAATCCACATATAATAGCGGTTCCACGTTAACCGCTATGTAAAATATACTTTTAATAGCGGTCAATTCTACAACCGCTATCTAAAATCTCGGGTAAATTCTAGCTCAAGCGACGGTAATTTCGCTTGAGCGAGAAGTGATTGAAATATGTGGTGACCCAGGTTGCATTATGTGGCTAACTGCGTTGGACGTTTAGCTATGGTCAATTCTCGCTTGAGCGAGAAGTTCATCGCTTGAGCGAGAAAACCTGCAAGTGAATCAGGTTGCATTATATGATGTTGCTGAAAGGGGAGTTTGTTCTGTTTATGAAATTATCTTGTGTCTGTATTGTTTTACCTGGAGCTGACTGTAATTGATTCATTGAAGGTGAATATGGGGATGATAGCATGTAAAGAGAATTTAAAATTTCTTGACTGATGGTTGGTTGGTTACTCAGGGTTAAAGTGCTTGAGGTTGTGGGACTGTCAAGCATCAATTCTGTGGAGTGGCTTAGAATGATCAAAGAAGTGTTTTTACAGTATTTTAATTGATACAAAACCCTGTAGAACCCATTATGACCGATCAGATTTGAAATATGAGCGATCAGAACTTATTTCAATCGATTAAAACACGTTTCAATCGATTAAAATCATTTAAAGGGTCAGAATGATCGATCAGAATGCAGTTATGACCGATCAGAGTTGGTTATGATCGATCAGAATTGAATTATGACCGATCAAATCTGTTTCAATCGATTAAAACGCATTTCAATCGATTAAAACAACTTGGAAAAATTTGGTACAAAGTTTTAATCGATTAAAACTTCTTTTTATCAGCTAAAATAACTTGGAAAGTTTTATAAGAAAGTTTTGCAGTATATCAATCGATTAAAACAAGAAATAATCGATTAAAATTTCTTGACTGATGGTTGGTCATTCTTGTTATATTGAGTTGTATGACTGATATGTGCATCAATAGTTAGCAAAAAGTTCCTTAAATAACCTTTGATTTCATCAAACTGAAAAGATCTTCGTTTTATCAAATGATTCAATAAGATCTTCATCACTTTCAATTAATTGAAAAACTCCTAAGTTTCATACATTGAGACATTTCTTAACTAACACAATCTAATGATGCGAAGTAGATGCACATGCATCATTAGGACATGTTCTTCTGCTATGACCAGGGGTATGACAATATGAACATTTTTTAATCATACTTTGATGTTCTGTAATGTCCATCTCAGTTCTTATACGACTTGATTTTGGTCGGCCCTTTGAAGTTCTTTTCATTTCTGGATTTGCACACAAAGTAGGTCCTGTGTATGTTGGCCAATATTCTTCATTTCGCAATAACCCAAATTGTGTTCCGTATACCTTTGAAACTTGTTGTAAGGTATACACTGAATTAATATAGTTGTTGAAGTCATGGTGTGCATGCTTGCATGCAGCAAGAACATGTAAACAAGGCATGTGAAATTTTTGGAATTTCTCACAGTCACACCATAACTCATCAAGGTGAACTGCAAACTTCCCTGCTGGTCGAACTTCACGCGGGTTTTGTGTTTCTTGTACTACAAATTTTGTGGTAGACCTGTCAAACGTTATGACCCTGTGCGTGTTTGTCTGTGTTTGTGCTTCCTCTAAATTTTTGACCAAAATTTCAGAGTATACATGACCAGCATTGATCATGGCATCTATCTGCCTCCCTCTTTCAATGAAAAATTTGTTGCAACGGGTGTACGTTGCGGTGACCATGGAGCAAATAGGTAGATTTCTTGTTTTTTTCAAAACAGAGTTGATAGACTCTGCTATGTTGGTCGTCATGTGGCCCCAACGTCGCCCATTGTCCCATGCAAGTGCCCATTTTTCTCTAGGTATCTCATCCAACCAATTAGCTGCTTGTATGTCACATTGCCTCAAGATGTTGTAATAATAGTAGAATCGTGGTTCAGTCATCCCATACGCTACAACAATATTAAAAAAACATAGTTAATATAAATATTTATTAGCAACAATTAAATAATGAATAAATTGTAACAAATTTGAAGCAAAGGAATTACCCATATTTACAACATCTTTCCTCGGTGCGGTGTTTTTGAAATGTCTCATAAAATTACGTGCAATG